ATATAAACAAGAACATCTATAGGTGGTCTTTGTCATGTTTGGGGTCAAAAATGTTTTTTTTCGTATCCTGTCCACCAATGTGAAATTCAGAATTGATGTCTGAATTGGGCTTTATTTGGACAAATGAAGCCCAACAGTTTTACTTTAACAAGTGCAGCATAATGGCATTTCACCATGATGCTCCACTTGATATATATTGAACTCTTTATTAAAAATTCTTTTGGGATTAATTTGTAACCGAAACTGAGACAGAAAAAGTAAACAAAAGAAAAAGGAGAAAAGTAAAAATGTTTGTTAAAGGGGGTTATTATGTATTTTCCAGGAACATATTTCAATTCTGTGCCACAATCAAATAACTATGTTACCTTGAGTTGCTATATACAGTAAATGCTGTATATATTGTAAATAAATTGAATTTCTCATCATAGACTACCCAAACACCTAGAAATTGGCCTCTGACACTTCAAGAACCTCCTACCGTTTCCTACACTCCCACTTCAGCACGTCTTCACAACAATGCTTTGGGGAAATGGTGCTCTGTGGGGCTCGGCTGCAGACTGAACTCTGGGGAGGTGCTGTGTACAAATAGGCACTGCTTTGTACCAGCTAGTGTTTAGGCAGCTCCACATGTCTACCACATGAGATTCAAGGATTTCTCTGACATGCATGAACGAGTCAAAGCAACACCCTGGGTGTGTTTTTTGATGAGGAAATGACATTATAACATGATATAAAGCCCAAAAAAGATTTGATTTTGCAAAAACCTTAGTGGATGTAACTCAGTCAGTTTTACAAATACTGACCTAATCTGTGGTGTGGTAGTAGCTGAGAGTCATCCCCAAAACATTATGAGCACATGTCCAACTGCATCTCTGTCATTTCACAACATATGAAGCCTTCAGTCCAGAACTCTGGCCGTGATTGGCTTTCCTTTAGTTATTGATGTGAACTCTGAGCTCTTCCTACTTTTTCCCAAATAGGCAATTTCACTTCAGTTCAGGCTCAGGTCCTCCACCAGAGACCTACGTAGGAGCTTAAGGGTTCCTTACAGTTTAGTCTTGAAAAGAACTGGACCCACTTAGAGATCAGTTCCAGTGGGAGCTAGAAGGAAACTGTGCCTGTTTAAATATTACAGTAAATGTGAAAACGTGATTTAAAAAGTATATTCTTTTGAAATTTATCATCCTGTCTGTGTCCAGATCGAGACTACTGACCTCTAATTTAGAAGAATGTTAACTGAACTGAACAATATTTAATAATAACGTATGTGTAAACAATTTCTTACTTTATTTAACTTGCAAACATCTTTTCCGCAGTGTTTACAGAAGAGTCTTTATGGACCCATCTGGCGGTCCCGGTTTGGACCCTTTGATCTGGTCAACGTGGCATCTCCAGAACTCATTGCTCAGGTGATCCAGCAAGAGGGCCAGTACCCATTCCGGGTCGAGCTGCCCCACTGGAAGGAGTACAGGGACCTGAGGGGACAGGCATATGGCCTGCATGTTGAGTGAGTCCAGATGAATGAGAATAAATCTCTCATTTCTAGATAGAGGAGTAATGTTGAAATGGCATGAGAGCTAAATCTATCCTTCCATCCTTTTTAGTCTCTTTCCATACTTGAGTTGTGGGGACAGCAGCTTGAACAGGAAGGCCCAGACACCTCTTCTAGTACTTCTGGGAGGATTTCATTGTGTTGTCTAGTGTTTCCTGGGTCTTTCCTGGGTCTTCTCCCTCTTAGGCATGCCCAAAACCCTTAGGATGGCATCCAGGGACCATCTTTACCAGATGATCTAACCCTAACTACCTAAAATGGCTCCTGTCGTTGTGAAGGGAGCAGCAGTTCTACTCCAAAATGTTTCCATGATAACTAAACCTCTCACCCTATCTCTAAAGCCTGGTTTATACTTCAAGTTGCACGTCTTGTTCCCCCTGCTGAGTAACAAAAAATTGTGCAACTTCCGTCTGCTCTCCCACTGTTATCCCCTGGTGACAGTTGTCTTGTGCGTTGCTCCAGTCAGAACTCTGCGATGCGGACCTTGTGGCTTGAAGCGTGTGATTGGTTAGAACTTTGTGGGTGTGTTTGCCATCTTTATTGCTGTTTATGTATTTATATGAGCTGTGGGAGCACAGACGGAGGATCTATGATAATTTATGGCACACTGCGTCTTCAACTCGTTTATACTCTATCAGGAAAAAGATGTCCAAAATAATGCAATCTCTAACCCGCTGTCTCACGTCTTACTGAAGTAAGCTTAAGTGAGAGCCCAGCCAGCCTGTGGAGAAAAAGTATTTTGATCGCCTCGTTCTTTCAGTCATTACCCAGATTTTGTGACCTCAGGTGAGAGTACACTAGACCAACAGGTAAACAGCCCAGATCCCTCTTCACCACAACAATCTGGCACAGAGTACACAATAGACATGGGATAAATGGCTCTTTGAAGGGATCCGGATCTTGGGGAGCCATTTGTTTCATAGAGCCGTTCAAAAGAGCCGTTCGATTTTGAACATATTACGTCATCGCGTAGGGAAATACGTCATCACGTAGCCGTATATAATGACGTAATCCCGTCACGTGGGTGGAACCATGTGTTTGTCAAGTGGAAACCCCCCTCACCCTTTCACCGTGAGCTTCTGTACTCCACAACTCCCTCTGTTTTCCATGAAAAAGCAAAGCAGGAGCAATTTAGGTATGAAAAAATAAAGATTATATGAGGAATAAAAGAAATAAATCTACAAATGATTCATTACTGCCCGCGATTTGGCTCCTATCGTTCATTGTGAAGAGCCGTTCAAAAGATTTGGATCATTCACGAACGTCACATCTCTAGTACACAATACTGTAGAAAACACACACCAGTCTGTATGTCAACCTCATATTCTATAATTCCCTCACTTGTGAACAAAACCCCATAATACTCAAACTCCTGCATGTGAGGAAGAACCTTCCTCTCAACCTGGACAGTCTTTTCCAACTGAGGACCATGGTCTCAGATTTGGAGGTGCTGATTCTTCTCCCAGCAGCTTCACACTTGGCTGCAAACTGCTTTAGTGAGAGCTGAAGATTACAGCGCGATGACGCCATCAGAACCACATCATCTGCAAATAACAGAGACAGAGTCCTGAAGCCACAGAACCGAACACTTTCCATGCTCTGACGGCATTAGAAAATCTGTTTTTGAATATTTTATCTATAAGTAATTTCTTTATATATTGTTTCTGTGTTTTTACGGAACGGTTAGGATATTGATGACAAAAGCTTAAACGTTTACTCTTTTACGCTTCAAGATTTTTATGTATGTTTTTAAAAAAAAACAACAACCTTTGTTTCTGATTTTACAGGACAGGATTGGAGTGGCACCGGATCCGCAGCGTTCTGAACCCTAAGTTACTGAAGATGCGGGAGGTGTTGGCCTACACCCCGGTCATCCACCAGGTAATTGGAGATCTGCTGCAGCGGGTGGAGCTCCTGCGCAGCCGCAGTCCGGATCAGGCCACGGTTCCTGATGTGGCGGCTGAGCTTTATAAGTTTGGGTTTGAAGGTGAGAGCTGCTGCAGGTACAGATGTTGCAGATGTTTAAGGTGGAGCAGCTGATGATGGGGTTTGTCCTCTACCCCACAGGGATCTCCGCCATCCTGTTTGAGACCAGGCTGGGCTGCCTGCAGGACGATGCTCCTAAAGACACTCTGCGCTTCATCACTGCAGTTAATGACATGCTGACACTTTCCGAGATTGTGGTCCTCTTACCCCGCTGGAGCCGCAGCATTCTGCCTTTCTGGGGGCGCTTTGTTCAGGCCTGGGACCACCTGTATGACATGGGTACGTCTCTGCAGGAGCAGAAACATCAGCTTCCTGCAGCTTCGCTCCCTGGTTTTGTTTTCTGTCTCTAAATGAAGCTTCTGTTTTCACAGCTCAGAAACTCATCGACAGACGGATGGCTTATATCACTGCTCAGGTGAACAGAGGTGAGCCTGCAGAGGGCTCGTTCCTGACTTACCTGCTGTCGTCTGACAGACTGAGCCAATCAGAGGTTTACATCACTGTGCTGGAGGTGATGCTGGGGGGCGTTGACACGGTAAGAAAGAACACCTACCACTTCAAGATGGGAAATTATAAATGGCCTAAACTTATAGAGTTTTTTTGTTAAGTCCAAGGACTCCAAAGCTCCTTACACTACAATCATTCACTCATTCAGACACACACAGACTCATCTGCCCTGGGGCAGACTGACAGAGGTGGGGCTGCCATGTCCCGGCGCCACCAAGACCTCTGACCACAACCAGCAGGCAAGGCGTGTGCAGTGTCCTGCCCAAGGACAAACCAACTGAGGTAGTTGGAGTGGGCATTCGAACCGGCAATCCACCGGTTAGAGGATGACTCCCCTACCTCCGCCACTGTCGCCCTCAAGGATAGATGAAAATAAAAAAACCCTAAAGTATCAAATAGCTAAAAGCATTCAAAGCTGCATTTTTACTTTTATTCTGGTCAATTAACAACTGTGAAACTATTGTCCAGATAAACAGATAAAATAAAGAAATTCTGATTGACTTTGCAAAAGAAACTGAAACTGAGCTGAAAATTAAATGTAGAAGAAAACTAACATTGGGCCTCATACAAGAACCGTTCGTACGCACAGATTTGTTCTTAAGTTGTGCGTACGAGTGATTTAGGAGAATTTGTGGCATTCACCAATGTTTTCRTRTTCTAAGATTTTTTTCAGATACRAACAAAAWTCACGAGTGGTCCAGACCTGTCGTATATTTTACGAGCAGTCAGTCTGCTGTTATCCAGACGAGTTTTCTTCACTAATAACTTTATATTTCGTTAGTTTGAAGATATTTTGAGTTAAAAATAAATTACACTCCATAATTATGTTGACAATAGGCTATTCTGCTTGAATTAGAGTTATAATTTTAAATGTAATAATTTAGACTAACAATATAAATTGTCCGTCCGGCCGGCTTATCCGCTATCAGGTGCGGCAGGTGGGCAGCAGGAGAGACCCCGCTCTCTCCGCAGCGACAATTTCCAGCTCGTCCTAGGGGACTCTGAGACGTTCCCAGACCAGAGGGTGTATATAATCCATCCAGTAAGTCCTGGGTTTTCTCCAAAGTGCCAGACATATTTTGAAAACATTTTAAAATGCTTATTTCAAACCCGCATCTGAGACCACCGCAGCGCGGGGTGGGGTGGCACGGCACGGCGCGCAGCGCTGCGGCTTCTGAATAAATGAAAATGATTTAACACAGTTGTTTATACTTTTAGCAGCTCTTTTTATTCCACAGCTGACCTGCTAAAAGTGACAGATTTCCTTTTCTGGATCTCTGACAGCAGGACTTCAAATCTGAACTCGTAAAGTTCTTTTTAGTTTTCGCTGTCATTTTCATGAATGAATGGACACTTACTTGTATCTGAGGCAGGAAACATAGCCTTATATGGTGTTTTTGGGGTGGTAATTATGCTAATCTCGCGTGCACGAGCAGCTGGATACGAACAGGTGTAATTTACGCAGCTCATTTACACACTTTTCCTGAAGATAGAAGAGTTTGTTGAATCTGATGTGACATGTTCGTACGAACCCTTTGTACGAACAAAAGTAAGAGAAATTTAGGATAAGAATACGAACATGTTCTTGCATGAGGCCCAATGGTATTTGTAGAACTGAAGAATTTATTGGGGTGTCTACTACTGACTTTTAAAGACACTACACATTGCATAGTCTTTTATTAGGTGAACAGTAATACTGTATATTTTTATGCTGTGGTTATTTCTGATTGAATTGATGATTTTATGTGCAGACTGAGTTGTGGGACTCTTGATCAGGGTTCCACACACTCAGGAGGCTTTTAGTTGGAAACACGTCTGATTTAAAACAACACCTATAAGAAGCGTGATCAAACATTAGGGTGAGGAATAATGTCTGACATTTTTGACTCCATATAGAGGTAGCCTGCCCCCTTTAGCATGTGTCATGAGGTGGAGTCAGGATGTGAAGAGGTTTGTTTTCTGGATGTGTTTCCAGGTTCTGGCCACTGCTTGGCTGATGCCTGTTGGAAGGCAGATTAAAAGCTAAACAGTCCAAAGCTGTGTCTGAATGGTTTTGTATGGCTCACTCAAACATTCACGTCATTATTATTATCTTGTATTAGATCTGAACAGATAAAAGGTAACGAACACTGCTTATAACAGCACTACTAGCATAATTTGAAGAATGCTAAAGCAGAACTAGTTTATATGTCAACGCATTTCTGAGATGTTTGTTAATAATCTTAAATAAAACAAAATGTGCAAAAATTAGTGCGGGTCCATAAAATATGTACTGCACAGACATTTACCACAAAAAGTAAGGAAATTTGTGTTTTATAGAATTTGTCTTTATTGTAACAATGCTTCTGGTGATGTTGGAAAGCCTGTTTTTTTTTTTTTTTTTTTTTGGAAATTGAGCCACATTTGTAAGGAATGTGCATTTGTGGGAAAAGCAGTATAGCGGAGTATGAGAGTTGTCCACATGAAAAATTTGCCAGATCTTCTTTGCCAAACAGCTCATTTTGATGTTGCTTTTGGCATTTGTTTTGAGCTTCTGATTTCCGCAGGTGCTGCCAAATTCAGGTACAATAATAAGAATTATTGCCAAGAAGCATTGCTAGAATAAATAAATAATTTGTCAAGCACAAATTTCCTTACTTATTGTGCTACTACATCAATCAGCAATTAAATAGTGTGAATGCTGAGTCACGTGAGATGAGATTTTGTTCAGCGCCAGAGTCAAGTGCTGCAATGGTTAGTTTGATTTGTTCAAAAACAACAGTGGCGGGTAATGAAAGTAGTGAGGTTGGGGGTAGTTTGTCATGTCTTATCAACCTCCCCAGGGTAACTAACGAGCCGGTCCGTTTCCCCATACAGGACAGGCAGCAACGTTATGTCCCTTGTTCCCGCAGTAGATGCATAAACTTGGCGGAAAAACGTCTCTGTCTCTCCTCGGGAGTTAAGCTGGTCCATCCAATCTGCATAGGCTCGGGCTCATTTACAGCAGTCGTGGTGCAGGAAACAGGAACTTACCATTTGAAACGGAATCAGAAACTCGTGGATTCAGGGAATTGTAGTCTCTCTCTCTTTCGTTCTCTTAATCTGTTATCGATGAGGATTGAAAAGGCGATTAATTCATCCAGGCTCCCGGGTTCATYCCGGGAGGCCAACTGATCCTTGATCTGCTCGGACAACGAGTTAATATAAGTACCTTTTAATGAGAGTTCCTCCCATCCTGCCTCCTCGGCAACAATGCAGAAGTCCATGTAATGCTCGGCAACTGATCTCCTTCCTTGATGAAGGGTGAGTAAACGTTTTGCAGCCTCCTCCTGCTGGAGGGGATGATCAAAAACAGGCTGGAACTCCTGGAGAAACAACTGAGAGGTGAGGGTATCTGGAGAATGTGATGAGAGCAAAGCTTGAGCCCATCTTAGTGCTCTTCCTTTTAATGCAGACACAATATCAGTTATGCGAGCTGGATGAGTGGGGAACAATGAAGGAGAGCGAGCGAAAGCCAACCTGCATTGAAGCAAAAATCCTCCGCAGTGGTCAGTGTCTCTTTCAAACAACTCAGAGGGACTTAGATCTGGCTCTCAGCCTGGTAATACAGGTATGGTTGTTGAGGCTGCTAGGGTTAGCACAGGAGTGATGGGAAGAAGAGTTGCCTAATTTTTCATCTATGGCAGAGACTCGGTGAGTTACTTGGTTAAGCATGTTACTGGTTTCTTCTTGTAACCGAAATAACTGATGGAGCATTTTTTTCGTGTTCACTAAATCTGGCGTCTTGTACCACAGAAGCACCTGGAGTCTGATTGTCATTAGTATTGCTCACGGACATGTCACTTGGCTGAAGCATACTATCAGGATTTACAAAGCTCAAAGTCGACGTGAGCAAATACCAAAGACAACAAAGACTGAGACCAATGAATAAAGGTAAGTGTTTTTACTTACAGGTGCTGGTACGGTAATTGGGATCAGGAAACAGAAGGTTTTGCAGTGGTGAGTATTTAGTAGAACTTTCCAATGAGTTATTGCAGAGAGGTAAGTATAATTTGTTCTTACAGGTTGGTGTACGAGGTTTGGCATGGAGGAGCTGGTCCAAGGTCCCAGGGTGAGTATTTACTAGGGTTGGGCATAATCGTATCGTGTGCAATTAATCGTCAGAAAAACATTAATCGATTACTTTTTGGCACTTGACGATTAATATGATTAATGCCACCAGGCAGACAGACTGGGGATTACTCCGGTCAGTCTGCTTGGTGCTCCTCTCTGCTTCAAATATGATGAACATTAAAAATTCTGTAATTTATTTATCTATCAACACAATTTAAATTTTGATGTATAGCCTGAAATCAGCAATTTTCACACAATTTGAAACAATTTTTTACAAAGATCAAATCTTTCCCACTAAATTGGTCATGTGACTATGAAATAAGGAAGTCCAAGGACTCCAGGGGATTAATCGTCAAATGAATCGTTATCGGATAAATACCACAATTAATCGTGATTAATTTTTTTTGCCAATATTGCCCAACCTTAGTATTTACAGGTGAGTACTTATTTACAGGTACGTTGGAGGTGAACAGGCAGCACATGTAATTCCGGTGAGTGGCTCTAGAAAATGGATCCTCAGGCAGGCTTGGCGGAATCAATGGCTCTTTGGAAAACCCTTCCAGTCTGGAAACAGGCAAGTACATAAAAACACAAAGTTTAGACAAACTCTGGTATTTTGGGTGTATTTTATTTTGATCCTTTGTAAAGAATAAAGTTTTTCCAAGAGCTGGATGTTATAAGACCATTACCTGCTCCAGTGGCTCTGACCACAAAGTTGTTTAGGTAGCTAGCCGGTTAGGGGAGAGTCAAACCTGTGACTTTTGAGTACCAAGCCGGCTGCTCTACCACTACACCATAGCCACCCCAGCGTCCCAAGGCAGCCAGGCAGGAGAGCAAAAACGACTGGTTGGGACTAGAACCACCTTTTGGGACCAGCTCCTCCTCTGTGCTGTGTCTCTAAGCCGAGCTTCCTCATCACGGAGCACACACACCCAC